CAAAAACTATAAACCTGGGAATATTGTAAATAACAGGCTATTTAGAGCTTGATAAGAGCTACAAATGCTAAAAATTTTAATCCAATTTGCTCAACGGTTACCGAGCAATTGAGGTTAGAATATTTTGGAATTAGAAATCAAAGGGGTTACCCTTATGAAAAATTTTCAAAATCTTGACATGGTCATAAGCAATTGCCCATATCTTTGTAAAATTTCAAGCAAATTGAAATAAATTATATATCATTGAAAAGAGCATTAAATTCTCTATAAACTTGTGTAAAATTCACTTTGATGCCTCAAATAGTTTTTGAGCAATCAACCCTTAAAGTTGACTTCTACTCTAAATTTTGTCAAAAACTCCAAACTCAATTTGCTCAAAAACTATAAATCTAGGAATATTGTAAATTATAGGCCAATTAGAGCTTGATGAGAGCTACAAATGCTGAAAATTTCAATGCAATTTGCTCAACGGTTACCGAGCAATTGAGGTTAGAATATTTGGAAATTGAAATTCAAAGGGGTACCTACCCCTTATGAAAAACTCGATTTTTTCAATTTTCAATTTTGCTCAATTCTGACTTTACCAATCGATAGAGCGGGTACAAATTATTGGAAAACAACACTAACATCATTTCCAAATCGCCATTTTAAGTAGTAACAAAATTAAAAAGGAAATCTTATTTTTTGGCTGTGAAAAATTTTCAAAATCTTGACATGGTCATCAGTAATTGCCCATATCTTTGTGAAATTTGGAGCTAATTGAAATTAATTATATATTATTGGAAAGAGCATTAAATTCTCTATAAATCTGTGCAAAATTGGTTCCAGTACCTCAACGGGTTCATGAGCAATCCACCTCCAAAGTTGGATTTTAGTCTAAATTTTGTCAAAAACTTCAAACTCAATTTGCTCAAAAACTATAAACCTGGGAATATTCTAAATAACAGGTTATCTAGCGCTTGATGGAAGGTTCAAATGATGCAAATTTCAATGCAATTTGCCCAACGGTTACCGGGCAATTGAGATTTGAATATTTTAAAATCAGAATTCGAAAGGGTTACCCTTATGAAAAATTCGATTTTTTTTAATTTTCAATTTTGCTCAATTTTGACTTTACCAATCGATAGAGTTTGTAGAAATTAGTGGAAAACAACTCTGACATCATTTCCAAATGGCCATTTTAAGCAGTAAAAAAATTAAAAAGGAAATTCTATTTCTGGCTCTAAAAAATTTTCAAAATCTTGACATAGTCATGAGCAATTGGCCGTATCTTCATGAAATTTCGAACAAATTGAAATAAATTATATATCATTGGAAAGAGCATTAAATTCTCTATAAATCTGTGCAAAATTGGTTCCAGTACCTCAACGGGTTCATGAGCAATCCACCTCCAAAGTTGGATTTTAGCCCAAATTTTGTCAAAAACTTCAAATTCAATTTTCTCAAAAACTATAAACCTGGAAATATTGCAAATAACAGGCTATTTAGAGCTTGATAAGAGCTACAAATGCTGCAAATTTCAATGCAATTTGCTCAACGGTTATCGAACAATTGAGATTTGGATATTTTGATATCAGAATTCGAAGGGGTTACCCTTATGAAAAATTCGATTTTTTTAATTTTCAATTTTGCTCAATTTTGACTTTACCAATCGATAGAGCGGGTACAAATTAGTGGAAAACAACCCTGACATCATTTCCAAATGGCTATTTTAAGCAGTAACAAAATTAAAAAGGAAATCCTATTTCTGGCTCTGAAAAATTTTCAAAATCTTGACATTGTTATGAGCAATTGCCCATATCTTTGTTAAATTTTGAGCAAATTGTAACAAATTATATATCATTGGAAAGAGCATTAAATTTTCTATAAATCTGTGCAAAATTCAGTTAGATACCTCAGATAGTCTTTGAGTAATCAACCCTCAAAGTTGCCTTTTAGTCCAAATTTTGTCAAAAATTTCAAACTCAATTTACCCAGAAACTATAAGCCTGGATATATTGTAAATAACAGGCCATTTAGAGCTTAATAAGAGCTACAAATGCTAAAAATTTTAATCCAATTTGCTTAACGGTTGCCGAGCAATTGAGGTTAGAATATTTTGGAATTAGAAATCAAACGAAAAATTTTCAAAATCTTGACATGGTCATAAGCAATTGCCCATATCTTTGTAAAATTTCAATCAAATTGAAATAAATTATATATCATTGGAAAGAGTATTAAATTCTCTATAAACCAGTGCATACCTGTCTTTAAGACTAAGTTTAAGGCAACATTGAGTGCTAGACAATTTGATATCTCAACACAACGAGCTTCCCAATAACTGAGCCAATAAATCAATTCGAGACTACGAAGAATTTAGAACTCAGAAATCACAAACCAGTCAGAGCGTTTTTGATGGGTGCAAATCTCCAACAACTAGAGATTTGGTCATTTTAATGCGAACCTTAACGTTTTCGTAGCTGGAAATCGGATGATTGTAGGAAATAATCAGGTAGAATCACCTAGAAAAAATGGAATTCATATATACAAAAATATCTGAAAATCATCAAGTCGCAATTTTTGGGATTCATACGTGAGATTCATTAATCAGTGATTGCCAAATATGGAAATCATTGTACATTTGTAAGCATATTTAATCTTAATTACGATACAAGTATGATAATTTACTCATGTTTGCCTGCGTGTATAATAAATAATCCCCTTATTACGAATGATCTACACAAAATTTGTTATTCTTTTAATGTTGTTTAGTAGATTCGTTCTCAGATAAGATACTGTGTTCATTAATATTAAAATTTTCAACAGTTTTAGTTAATTTTTTCCATTTGGAATCGTACAAAGGGCGCACACAATCTCCCAAACGCACAGTGCATTATTATTTATAAGCTGTGGGGAGCACCGCGTGCCTGGGCAATAAGTTTTCTACAATTGTATATGGATATAGAGGGGGGGTTTAAAATTTAAATTAACAGATGCCGAAATCGGGAAAGATGAGGGGGAAATTGCGGCGATTCATTTATATTGTCCCCGTAGTACAGTTTTCTGTTTTGAAATGTCATTATTTCAAGGTGTTATAGGTATTCAAATTTTCAATGTAACAAGCAGTTAAAAATACCTAAAATCCTTAAGCTATGCTGAAAAAGTAGACAGTATTCGAGAAGGTATTTTGAAATAAACATTTGTATTTCAGGCGATGCTGCGAGTCCAGAACAGGCTTATTCAACTATGAAGAAATCCACAGATTATGATGTTGTCTAGAGTTTTATAATACTTGTTAGCGAGTGAGTACCTATAATGAATATAATAGGTCTGTTTCTGCAGAAATCACAAACGATTCAGAGCGAATTTCATTGATTGAAAACAGTCAAAAAACTAGTTTCAACCAATGAAATTCACTCTGATTGGTTTAACCTAACAGCCATGATGAAGATCCGAAAACACTTTACTTCCAAAGAGGCAGTTTCCTTTATTCTTGGCAAACCATGATGTCTTTCCTCAATCCCAACAAAATTGGTCATAAATCTAATAATAAAATACCCAGGGAGAAGGTTACAAAATTGCTGCTTACTTTAACACGATGTTCACTGAATAGAAATATATAAATCCTCATGCAGCAGCTATTCTTGTAGTGCAAGTCCAAACCTTTACATCAACAATTGAAATCTTATACACGGTATAGAAAATACTAGTTATATGATGTTGGAATATTGAATGTCTAAGTTTTTCCTATTCGACAATATTGTATTTGTAAATATGTAGCTGTAATTTACTTCTTATGTCGTGACGTAACATTTTGCCTCATTTCAGGCCGAGATTGAGAAGCATATCTTTTGTTCAGGCACTGTAGGATGAGAACAAGCATACATAGTTGAACTTTGCCTGGTTCATCCTCCTGTATTGGTTGATTAAGAAGACATCAAGTTCCAAAGGGATTGACACCTTCAAAACAATTCAAATTAAATGAGAAACTCAAAAACCAACAAAACATCATGAGCCATAGAAGTATAGTAATAGAACTAGCCAGCTTGAGAGGAGAGGAGAAAGATTCATTTAAAGAACATCAACAGTGACTTTATTTTGCACCTCCTTAAATGGAAGTAAACATCAGACAGCTTCTGTTATTCTTTGGCAAGACATGACCTCGATCCCAACAAAATTAGCCATATAGATCTAACGATAGAATACCAGAGAGAAGGTCCAGACCAGTTACAAAATTGCTGCTTACTTCAACATGACGTTAGAATCCTGATGCAGTTGCCAGTCCAGTTATTCTAGTGCAAGTTCAAACCATTGAAATCTCATATTATGCACAATATAGAAGACACAATGTTGGAAACAGGGTTTCTTATTCCAGCAGGTCATAATTTCAGATCAGTAATGGGTAAATTGAAACCAATTGATCTGCTGAATTGATAAACCAATCCTCGTGATGAAAGGATGTTTGGATGATTGAGAAAATGTTACAGACAACTTGGTTATGTACAAACCTCACCACCCATTGAGAAGATATTACAGACAACTTTATGTGTTATCTCTTATGGGTCACAATATTTGCAAGAAACATAACCCAGTCATGTTTGGTCGTGTACAAACCTTCTCATCTATCAAAAATATTTCCTTACAGGTGTTACATCAATGTCCAGTGATAAAAAACGAAATATTTCTCTATAATGTTGAAGGGATGTTTCGATAATTGAGAAGATGTTACAGACAACTTCATGTGTTGTCTCTTGTGGGTTATAATATTTGCAACATGTTTGTTCGTGTACAAACCTTATCACCTATCAAAAACATTTTGTTACACACCATCAAAAAACGAAACATTTCTTTTTCTAATTTGCAAATAACAATTCCACGATGTATAGAGGGGTGCAATAACGTTAAAGTGCCCGCGCGAAACACCCTCCTGCCCTACATTATTTCGCGTTCCACATCCCCTCATATTCGAAATGTTTTATTGATGAAATATAAAATAATTTACACTAAAATCAAATACATACCTGGCAGTGGTGCAGTCTTTGTACAAGGTGTCGAAGTCTTTGCAAGACAACAGCTTACATCGGTTGACACCGGGCTGTATAGCGCCCAAACCTCTCAAAATTCTCACTTGCTCCACGTTACAAACCAACGGTACAATATCGAGTCTCTTCAGTTTCGTATAAACCGTGTGCAAACCACCAACAAGATGTTTGAGGAAAAGTTCGAATGCTTGAGGCAGACACAGCATCGTGTCGCCTGCAATAATAAAAGCAGCCACTTTTTGTCCGCGATAATCGACCAATTTGCATTCGTTGGCTGTAGGATCCGACGTGCTGATAGGGGGTGGTGAGTTGTAGGACCTCGGTGGTCCATGGTGGGCCATAAGGTCTAAAGGATTGTGCAAAACTCCCAAAGAGTTCAGCAGTCCCAAGCCGGGCGGTGGTAGATGTCCCAAGGCCATGCTTCTAGCCAAAGAAGCGCTGGATACCGGCGGTGGACTCAGAGGGTGGGCCATGGACATTGGTGGGCCTAAAGGACTCGCTTGTCTAGGACTGTGCAAATGATGGTGATGATTAGGGATATTGTTATTGTTGGTCGGAGGTGATGGTGACGTTTTAATTGCTACAGCTGGCGAACCTGATGAAGCGTCACTGGCTGAATCGATTGTGGTATTGTCCATCATCATCATTTAACCACCCGAAACACTTTTATCGTCCGCACATATAACAGTCCGCGAAATAGTCCATCCGTAGAAACGTACCGACAATCGTTGAATGGGTGGTCGCCCACGACGATTGTTTTGTCTGTCTCTTCCGAATATCCTCGGTAGATAGTTATTCTAAAGGCGGGGTGAGATTCGACCTCCCTGTGCCGCTGCGCACTGAACGCAACCTGTACCGACGGCCGAACTACAAATGTAATAAATAAAAACATCGAAGAAAAACTTGCTTGGGACTTCTCGGACTCCGCCTCTGGTTCAGCTTTGTGGGGCGGGCTTTAGGCAACGATTGGGCGCCCCCCACTTTTCAGGCACGCCCCTGATCTGACTACCCCCCCGAAAGAAGTTGCGATTTTCTTTGTGCGAGTGTGTGGGGGAGAGGAAAACTTGAAATATGAGCTGTGACGTATTGATAAAGAATGTCACCGCGCGTTCTGTACGCAATCGATACAAACGCCGGGATAGGGTGTAGGGGGGGATTTTTCTCCTCTAAGTTTTTTTTTTTTTGGTTTTTGGTTTTATTTTCTCTCTCCTCGATCCGCCCCGATTGTTTTTCTTAAATTGCGCCAGCCTGGGAGTTGGTTTTTGTCTGCAGACGCGCGGGTGTGTACGCTCTATTCAACCCCCTTCTAAATTTTTTTTAAATTATTTTCTATTCATTGCTATTCGTTTCTGCTCTCTGTGTGTGTGTGTGTTTCCTGTACCCAGTTATTAATTAAGCTTTATTATTTTGGTGCAGCAGCGCTTTTTGTCCTTCTTCTGCATAAATCGCACACGATTTTGCATCGCCACTTTACTTGAATATATTGTCTCTTTCATGCGGAAAATAGTCTCTTTTCCCCTCTTTTTCGTTGCTGTTATAGATTTTGATATTTTCGAGTCCATTGGCTAGAAAGGTTCGGGTGCAAATAGGAATAGCGTCATCGCGTCATTTTTCTTCTTTCTTGTTCTAGTTGTTTTAGGATGTACGTCTGTTTGTATCCTTGTTTTATCTGTACATAAGAACTTCTGTCACATAGTATCACAATAATCTGAAATTTGTTTATTGATTGTCTTTACGTCTTCAGCTTTGAATCCTTACTTAACATCTTAAAAACATGAGTCTAGTCTTCAGATTTCAGAACCATCTAGAGATCTTCACAGTGGCGGCTCGTCAGAGAAGGCAGGGGAGGCTAGGCCTCCCCCAAAAAATTGAAAATTCCAATTTCAGTTTTTTCCTAATTAAAATAATAATTTACAAATTACACTTTTCAAATTTCGATATTTCAATGTAGGTAATTTAGAAAAATCTGACAACATTATTTCAATCAATCCCGCGCCTCCACGATAAAAATCTGTGAATCTGGGATACTCAGTAATACAATTCCGAATGGAACTCCGGCCCGAAGGACCGGAGTTATACGCGAGCCCGAAGGGCCGGAGTTATACGCGAGCCCGAAGGGCCGGAGTTATACGCGAGCCCGAAGGGCCGGAGTTATACGCGAGCCCGAAGGGCCGGAGTTATACGCGAGCCCGAAGGGCCGGAGTTATACGCGAGCCCGAAGGGCTAAAATTATTTTAATCACGGGGTCTAGTCTATAATTCTATTCGTCTGCGGATAATTTGGAGCCAATCAAAAATCGGGAATATTCAAAATGTTATTTTTAGTCGATATTCCAAGTTCGCAGCCTTATTCTGTAACTTGCGACCGCCGAGAATTGCGCAATTGTCGCTGTCAAGTCGCTGTCAAACGCGAGTTTTCTATTCAAAAAAAGCAACTTGCGATCGGTTGCTGGTTGCTATGTAGTTGCTGTTCGTAGAGAATAGGCCTGCCGATGTACCGGAAAAAAGTTAGCCTCCCCATCTTTCTTGATTTTGAATTTTTTTCCGAAAAACAAAAATACCATTGGATAGAAGAGCAAAAAAAAAACGTTGAAAACCTTATGGGACCCTGCTTGCTTTGGCCGGAAAAAAAAAATGAAAAAGAAAATGTCGATTTTGACCAGAAAAAAATATTGGTTCCCGCTCTTCGTTGCTATGATCGATACTCTTGTAGAGGAATCTGCGATGAACCTGAGATTCTACTTCTTCTTCTCCTGATCAAATAATGTCATTTGGGCTCACAAATGCCCCCGCAATTTTTCAAAGAGGAATGCCGTGTCTGTAATTCTGAGTAAAACCGTTTGTCTCTGGAGATTCTACTCCATATTCGCCTGATTAAATAATGCCATTTGGGCTCACAAATGCCTCCGCAACCTTTCAAAGAGGAATGCTTTGTCTGTAATTCTGACTAAAACCGCTTGTTTCTGGAAATTCTACTCCTAGTAGGGAGAACAATAAATATTATTTTGTTGATGTTGGTGCTATGTTCCAAAGATGATCTGATTTTCTTACTTCTGACTGATTTTGGATGGTTGGTAAATGGTACCTATAGGTTTTCTGTCGGTAATAGTTATTTACGATACAAGACCCTTATCTAGAAGTTTACGTGCGAGCTTGCGAGCTTGTTATCCATGCGAGCACGTAAACTTTATGTAACGGTCGAGAATTGTACAATGTTTTATGATATTTTGATTTGAAATTTTTTAGCATATTACACACATTTCTTGTAAAAGTCTGCAAAAGTAGCCGAGCAAGGGGTATATAGAAGAGTCTATCAAGGGAAAAACGAAAGTTGCGAACATGATACTCTCGACAGATTCAAGTAATGTTCAGTCAATGTCAACACAAAATGTCAAATAACGTTGCCTCTGCATCATCTTTGGGAGGCGAAGTTTTAATTATGAAGAATGTATCTGCAGCTGCCTGTACAATTAATGTATATGCTTGTAAATATCATTGTTCTTAAATTTCTTGTGTTTTGTATATTATGGTTATCAATAAACATGTATGCTGCTTTAGTACTTATTGATGAAAATCAGCCCGTAAAATTATTCACGGACTAGCCTGTTAAGAGATTCTTTGCCGTTTAAGATAGAGCTCAGTAAAGAGATGTTTACAGTTCAAAATATAAACAAATTAACTCGTGAATCAATCTTCTTTGTGTGGAACCACCAGAGTTGAGCTTATTTTCGTCAACTTTCAAAGTTGAATTTGATAGTTGGATATCCAATATCTAAAATAATTGACATCTCTCAAATTCTACTGATTTGACACTTGAGCCCGGTTGTACCAGATAGCGGTTCATTTGAAATATATTATTGGTACTTGAACTTTCCCATTTGGAATACATTACTGTCAGAAATCTGCCAAAAGGTACGTTTTTTGACAGTTACGCATTGATCAAGTAGGTACCAGTGAAGTTCAACTCGACCATTTGCCATTTGGAAAAAAAGACGTCACTTTTAAATTAAAGACTGTTTTTTTCTAAAAATCTAAATATCATAAATCATCGCTCAAAGGACACAGGGGTGACGATGTCTTGCCAGCAACAGATAGCGATTCCATAGTCATCAGCTATTTGCACAGCATTTGCCTGCCGTCAAATCGACTTCTCCCCGAAGAAAATACTTTTATTATTTGGCCTATTTGCCCCCCTTTCGGTATATCGCGCGAGACGCGTTGGGGTGGCACGATTCAATACGACAAGCCATTCATCATAAAATTGAATCGGAATAAACTACTATTATGTATATTTTCAGTGTGCTCAATGAAATTAGTTATAAGTTGTTTCTGGTTTGTTTAAATATGATAACAACTCCTTCTACTGAAAATAATTATGCATGACCAAGAAGATTTGCTATATTATAATAGTGACAGTGAAATTAATTTGCATAAAATCTTTATGTACCAATACCCAATCAGTGTCAAAACGCTTGTATTAAAGCTCAATTAATGATTCACAAATTTCGATGTCATTTTGATATTATTAGAGAGGATGATACCCCGTCCATTGTTCCTGATTTTCCAATAAACCCCCAAAGGTCCAACGGCAGCAGCGACATTACAGCATTATGAATCACTATTGTAAGGGCATTTTTACGAATATAGGTAATTGTGTTTGCCTATCTGGACACGTTGTGCGCCCGCATTGTTTACGGTACGAGCTGAAACGTTTCTAAACGATAACGACAGCCAGGGATACTTCATAATAGATGAATATCCAATTTCCAGGCATGTTATAACGCATAAATGCACTGGTTTATCATTAAATGCTAAAAGAGAGAGGACGAGAAGAGGGGTCAGTGTGTGTGTGTGTGAAAGGCGTCCATGCGAAAGCCGGGCATTTGTTTCGACGTCGATGGAGTGTAAATTAAGATATAATCGTTTGGTGTTGACAACCCTCTGTTGTCAGATTACGGTCACCTTTAATATTCAATAACAATTTTATTGATTATTTAAATCTTAAAAATATCACGTACGTCTTTGGTTTGTAAGGCTCCGCCCTATATTTTGACATTTTTATGTAGCCAGTAGCGTAACTATCGAAGGGGCAGAGGGAGCCGTGGCCCCCGGGCAGTGGCGTGACTTCAAATCCGGGGCCCCTCCATAAGGATTTTCCCAGGGGGCTGTCTTTTATGTATTTTTTTTTTCTTTCTAATTTTGCTTCATTTTTGCTGGCAGATTTTTAGTATCCATTGAAGGTAAGTACACAGGGTTGCCAAGTTTTTATTCGTTTCCGAAATATAAGGGAAAATATGAAAAAAATGTAAACTTATTTAATGAATATTTCAAAATCTATTAGAAAAAAGTGTTCATACAAAAGATTCAAGATTTTTTCTTCTCTATAAAATGGTGTCATTGGGTGGTATGAATAAAAACGAAGTACTTGCTACTATTACAAGTATTGGTATGTTCTACGTAGTATATTTACTTCAAAACGAAGTAGATACTACATTTCGAAACTACCGGAAATTCTTTCTGAAGTAAATACTGCGAAGCATATACTAATACTTGTAGTAGTAGCACGTACTTCGTTTTTATCCATACCATCCATTGTTATCTTCACACGGCTCGAAACAAACTTATAAATAAGCTAATGGCATGGCCAAAAAATGAACTACCTATATACAGGTTTGACAGGTCAACAACAGGCTGATTTTAATGCAATTGAATGAAATGTCTAGAAAAACTCAAAGGTTGAATAGAGAACGAAAAATAACGATTTCCCCTGTTCCACCTCCAGCATTCCCACCTTGTTGTTGTCTCCCTCCGCTTCGCGACGGGAATCAGACCACATCTCGCTCTAAAATCTAATACTTTTTCCCTTGTATAATGAATAACTATTATTGATGGTATGTTCCATGTTCCATCTTT